AATTGAACCCGGGTGGGCCGTGTGCAAGGCAAACACCCTACCCGCTGTGCTATCGCTCCAGCCCCGACCCCTATTTTTTAAAGGTGCCCTTTGTTATTAATAATCAACGCCTTACAGTGATGGCAAACGCCAAGGCTTATGACACAGGGGAGGAGTAGGCCCTTCTCTTCCCCCCACCCCATGGGACTCTGAGATGATGCCACATCCGCCCACTGTCTACTTAAGCTCCACATGGCCATGATCCAGAGACACACAAAAGAATCTCGGACCCGAGCAACTTGCTGCAGCAATCTCTTCAGACTCTGATTATTAAAATTTTAGAATTCCTAGAGCGCGCAGCCATAACATCATATTTTATGCATAACCAGTGAACGAAACACATTGTCTAGCATTGCATTTTCGGCAGGTATGAGGGGGTCTCGAAATATCGAGGGTAACTAAAGTAGAGAAAGAGAGTATTGTGCAAATGGTCTGCCGCACAGGCAGGGGGAGGGGCGGAAGCGGGGAGACGCTGGGGATTTTGGAGATGGAAAATGTTCACGGGTGAAGGGATGGATGTTTGATGACTTTATGATTGAAGCTCAAACATGAAAGCTTTGTTACTGTACCTCACGGCAGCTGAAGACCTCCGGTTCCAGCCACAGCCATGCTTAACACCACTCTCCACATGTTCCGACGAGCCTCAACGCATGAAGGAACCGGCAGAGGAACCCAGGTGTGCGGGACCCGGGGCATAGATCTCCCAGCCTGCTCGGATTGGGACTGGGCCTCCTCCACCCAGATCCCCCATCTTCCAGTATGTAGGCGTTACACCCACCAACTGCCTCCGGTGCCAGGTAATCCCATCAATGGCCAAGACCCGGAGACTATAAAACCCTGCTCCCGTCATTGTATAACTGAAACCCAAGCACAAAAATTTGTAAGTCTACAACTATACCTCATGGTGTTTCACTAATAAAAATTAAAACAACAACAACAAACACCCTGCTCCTGGAACCATCTTCTTATTTAGTTCTTACTCTGGAGAACCTGGCAGGCTACCAAAAGTATCCTGCCCACACGGCAGAGTCTGGCAAACTCCCTGTGGCGTATTCAATATGCCAAAAACCAGTAACAAGGATGGGTCTCATTCTCCTCACCCTGAAAGAGTCTCGAATATGGCACTTTTTAAAATCTCATGGCTAGGATGAAGGAGATGTTACTGGGGCCTGCTCGAGGCAATTGACAAACAACAGGATGACAGTGATACAGTGATATGGCGAATCAATAAAAAAAAAAAACAAGCCTAAAAAAAACAAAAATAATAATAAATATCTTATGAGACTACTTAGGATGGCGCTGTCAGGAGGAAGCTGATCACCAGCTTTATTAGTGAGCAGACCTCGGGTGCAAGGACACAGTTGCTATGCAAGACCGACAAGGAGCACCCTAGCTGAGCTTGAACATTGAGAGGGGTGCTGGTTCTCATGAAAGTGTGTTTTAATTTTATTTATTTATTTTTTGCTTTTTGGGTCACACCTGGCGATGCTCAGGGGTTATTCCTGGCTCTGCACTTAGGAATCACTTCTGGCGGTGCTCAGGGGACCATATGGGATGCTGGGAATCGAACCCGGGTCGGCTGCGTGCAAGGCAAATGCCCCACCTGCTGTGCTATCGCTCCAGCCCCTGAAAGTGTTTTAAAATTAGAGAAAGGGAGGTAAGAAAATAAAAAGTGCTAGAGAGAGACTTATGTATGTTGTAATTTCAATTAATATCTATATTAATGATTATATAGCAAACTAAAGCTAGAAAGTCAGTTTGTAGTTAAGATTTGTTTTTATATCTCTTTAACGTGAGTCCTTTATCTGATGTGTAGTGTGCAAATATTTTCTCTCATTCAGTACAGTGTCTTGTTATTTGAGTCCAAGTTTCTTTTGCTATGCAAGACCATTTTAGTTGGCTGTAGTCCCATGTCTGGAGTCTGGGTTCTCATTTCTGGCTGGGTGAGCACTTGCCAACGCTGGGCAACAGCATCAGGTTCCTGACCCTCTTCCCTCCCCTTCTCCATGTACCTCTCCACTGGGATGTCTCTGGCTTGTAACCTTTGTAATAAATCAGTCAACGGCCAAGGCAGCGTTTTTAATGAGCTCTGTGAGAACCATAATCATTTCACCAACAAGGGAAGAAGTTGTGGGAAACCCCAATTTTTATGGTGTGCCTGGACATAAGTGTGGGGAACCTGGGACCCAATATTTGCAGCCGGCATCTGAGGCAGTGTGGGGGGCGGGTGCCTTTAGCTGAGCAGCACCCACACTGGGATAGGGGGAACTGGGTGCCAGGGCAACCAGGATGTGCACCATCAACGTTGCAATATGACCAAGGTCCAACATCTGAAATGCCAATACGAGAGCAGAAGAGTTTGGGTCAAAGAAGAAGAAATCACAACTCTGCATAAAAGATTTTTATTTTGTGGTCAGATCCCAATGAATAACGCCAGTCATCCTCGACCCTGCTAAAATGTGCAACTAGATGTGCTCTGAAGAAAATGCATCACCCAAAGCCGTTGAACTTGCATGATGTAGAGTGAAAGGAAACGCCCTAAACTTTGTCCCTTTGCTGCATTTAAAAAAGATAAAAATAAAAACTCAGATTCTGCTAAAATGTGCTCCGAGGAAAGTGCATTTACCCAAAGCGGTTTAATTCGGACTATGTAGAGGAAGCTTCCTCTCAAGAAAGGAAACTTCCTCAACTTTGTCCTTTATCACAATCACGATCGCGATCATCCTGTTGTTCATCGATTGCCTCGAGCAGGCACCAGTAACGTCTCCTTCGTCCTAGCCCTGAGATTTTAGAAAGTGCCACATTCGAGGCTCTTTCAGGGTTAGGAGAATGAATGTCCTTTAATACACTTTAAAACATATAAAAACGAAAAGAAAAACCCAAAGCTGTATTTGAACATAATACACATCATTTCGGTTATCTGCAGTAATATCATCCTTTTTGGGGGTCATACCCGGCGATGCTCAGGGGTGACGCCTGGCTCTGCGCTCAGGAATCCCTCCTGGCGTGGGTCTAGGGACATACAGAATTCTGGGGATGGAACCCAGGTCGGCCGCGTGCAGGGCAAGCGCCCTACCCGCTGTGCTCGCTCCCTAACCCCAATCTCAGCATTTAAATAGAGTCTTCACGTGTGACCTCTCCTGTCTGCCCTCCTCACCCCTGCTTGTGACGTGTGTCTTCTCTGGCTCACGTGGAACCACGTGTGTTTATATCTCAGCATACTGCTGCTACTCCTGCCCGAAGTCATGGATTATTTCTGTTCAGCGGGCCGCTGTGGGCGAAACACAGGGTCGGGAGGTGGGAGAAACACACAGAGAGCTGAACATCACGACCCCTCTCTTCCTCAGTGAGCTGGGACACTTGGCTAATTTTTTTTTTTAAAGTCCTTCACGTGGTATCAAATCCCAGGTCCATCGGAAGAAAATGTGGGGATCTGTTCAAAGCAAAGTACACACACTTAGGGGAACACAACCGACCGGAGCACTTCTGAATCCAGAACCCTGCTCTCGGTGAAACGGCTCCTCGGAAGCCCACGGCCGGCTGTTCTGCTCTGAGTGTATTGGGCTGGGTGTCAGCAGTGCCCGTGTCTGGGGTGTGGTGTGGTGGGGAGAGTCGCCTTTCAAATGGGGCCCACAGATTTCAAGTATGAAAAGTTTCTTTTTTTAAATTTTTTTTTTTTTTGGTTTTTGGGTCACACCTGGCGATGCACAGGGTTTAACTCCTGGCTCATGCACTCAGGAATTACTCCTGGCAGTGCTTGGGGGACCATATGGGACGCTGGGAATTGAACCCGGGTCGGCCGCATGCAAGGCAAATGCCCTACCTGCTGTGCTATCACTGCAGCCCTCAAGTATGAAAAGTTCTTACCCCTTCTCCCCGCTACTGAACTTGTTCTATAGATGCATCCTGAGAAACTTTCTGCTCGCCACAAGATGCTCTCAAGTTCCTATTTTTTTTTTTACAAAGATCCAGCAGGACCTCTTTTGATTACCTCTGCATATAACACTTTGTGCCAACATTTTCTTAGCTTCAAATATACAAGCAGCCAAGAAGTCTGCAGGGGACCTTCCCCTCACTCCCCCCCCCCCCCCGCATTCTTTTTTCACGTTTGAATCCCAAATAAACTCAACTCCTGCTATTTGATTCACATCATTGTCTATGAGTTCTCGAGACACGCAGGATTTTTACTTGAAAATAAAAAAAAGAGGATAAACCATGAAGTATAAAACATAAAACTATGTGGCCACATATGACGGGAGCAAAAATGCAAGTGTGTCCTCATGGCACCCAGGACGAACGGCCCATCCTGGCAGGGCGGGACCCCTAGAGATACTCGCGGTCGGGAATGTTCTCTCAGTGTCGGCAGGTGACGTCCCAGGGGCAGCTGCAGACGTGACGCTCACGGGCCTGCGTCTCTCCAGGACCCACACAGCCAACCAGCGAACAAAGACGATGACAATAACGACAACGGCAGTTTGCACGGGAAGCTGGACCCCCAGGCCGGGCCCTTCCCCAGACCACAGGCCACATCCCCCGCACACACACGGTCTCTGTCCTGCCAAGGGAAGTTCCTCCAGACGCGCGTTCCCAGCCTTCTGGCTCTGAAGGCAACGGTGGGAGTTGGTATCAGCCCATGATCCGTTGGGCGCGCCTGGCTCTCTGGGGGGGTGGGGGAGGGCGGCAAGGGCCATGTGGGAAATAGGTGAAGAGGATGAGCAGGCAGGGAGCCCGGGAGAGGGCGAGGGGGAAGCGTGATCATGCACGGGCACACGGGGGCAGCCAACGTCACGGCGTGCCACATCAAGGGCTTGTGCTTTTCCTAGAAGAAATGACTGGCCCCGAAGTGTTCATTTGGCAGATGTGGTCATGAACACGTGTGTGTGTGTGTGTGTGTGTGTGTGTGTGTGTGTACATGTGGTGTGTGCATGTGCGTGCATGTGGTGTGTGTGTGTGCATGTGCGTGTGTGTGTGTACACGTGTGTGTGTGTGTGTGCATGTGTACAAAATGTGGTAGGAGGCTATGTGACAGGTCCTTCGTGCCCTGGCCCCTTTCCTAACCTCACCAGCGAGGAAAAGCTGGTGCGTTACACTTGGTCAGTCTGATATTCGGACGCCTCGGACAGGCTTTCTGAGAAGCTCAGGAAATTCTCCTGGTACTCGGAGCAGACGATCTCGTAACGGTAGTGCCGGAACTCCACCGCCAAAGTGCCGAAGTAAGACAGGAAGCACATCACCAGGCCCCACTGGATCCGGGCCGCGTACATGTGGATGCCCTGGGACATGAGGATGAAGTCTGGGAGAGGCAGTCAAGGAGGGAATCCCGGCAGCAGCCTTCACACTGTGTTCTCCCAACGCAGAGGCCTGGCTCACCTGTGACCAACCAAACCCTTAGCCCTGGGCTGGGGAGACAGCTCAGGAGGGCAGAGCGGGAACGGGAGTGATGGTTACAGGGGTGAGGACGTTAGCCTTGCATGCGGCCGACCTGGGTTCGAATCCCAGCATCCTATATGGTCCCCTGAACACTGTCAGGAGTGACCCTTGAGTGCAGAGCCAAGAATAATCCCCAGGCATTGCTGGGGGTGGCCCAAAAACAAAACAAAGAAAGGGGAGGAGCTAAAGGCTTGCATGTACAAGGACCCCCCCTCTGATCCCTGACACCACACCTTCCCCTACCCTTCAGCACTGTGGGCTTTTGTTGTTGTTTGCTTGATTTTGGGTCACACCTGCCTAATCACATGCTCAGGGCTTACTCCTGGCTCTGCATTCAGAAATCACTTCGGATGGTGCTTGGGGTGGGGGGGGGATCCACATGGGATGCCGGGGATTAAACTCAGGTTGGCTGCATGCAAGGCAAGAGCCCCACCCACTCCACTGTCCTATTGCTCTGGTGCAACACTGTGGGACTCTTACTTAGCATGACAGTTTGTCAGATGAATGAGACCAGGAAACATCACGCTCTTTGTGTCCGCCATGGTCTATGTGACTTAATCCCCACAGCAACCCTACTCTCAACATTAGTGAATTAAATAATAGAGATGGGAACCACGATTCCCCCTGCTGTTGTGAGAAAAACGTGTCCTCACACTGTGGAAATGTGGCAGCCACGGCTGAGTGGGAACCTCCTGGGGGGAAAGCAAGAAATAAACTTAGAAATTAAGTAGAATACCTCAGAAGTCAAGCAGAAAGGCAAGACAGGAAGCAGAGAAATTAGGGATTCTGCAGGCCAAATCGGTAAGAGAGGGCCTAGGCCTACCCAGAGAGGAGACGGTGCAGCCAGGATGTGAACACAAGTACCTGGATTCTGCCCTGTGCCCTCGCATCGTTGCTGCAGTTTCCTGATGAACTGTGATTAGCAAGAACATCACTCAGTTCTCAGCCTGCTAGAATTTTTTCTTTTAGGGTCACACCCGGCAATGCACAGGGGTTACTCCTGGCTCATGCACTCAGGAATTACTCCTGGCGGTGCTCGGGGGACCATATGGGATGCCAGGGATCAAACACAGTTCGAACGCATGCAAGGCAAATGCCCTACCTGCTGTACTATCACTCCGGCCCCTTATGTTTTTCACAATGAGAAATTTCTACCTCCTTTTTTTTTTTTTTTTGTAACAAGGAGATAACCATCACATCATTAAGTGATGAAGAGAATGCCTCAAATCTTTCTTTCTTTTTTTGGGGGGAGTCCCACCCAGTGAAACTCAGGGGTGACTCCTGGCTTTGCACTCAGGAGTTACTCCTGGTGGTGCTCGGGGGATCATATGGGGTGCCGAGGATCAAACCCAGGTTGGCTGCGTGCAAAGCAAACAAATGCTCTCTCCACTGCTGTAACTATCGCTCCGGCCCTCATCACACCTTACCTACAGAGGAGAACAATATTGAGAAGGCAGAGCTCGCTTTAGCTGAAGCTCTTTATCACCTCTTTGGCATGAAAAATGGATCTGAGAGTTTTTGTTTCGGTTCTCATCTACTCTCCTGTTCTGTTTGAGTCTGAGATGCTCTGACAGTTATCTATAGCCTAACCACCTGGGAATGCCCATTTCCTCATTTTTACAGAGGCTGATTATCTGTGCTCTAGTCCCCCTTCACAAAGAACCCTTTCACGCCTCAAGGATACAGAGGACCACGCAGAGAGTGATCACCGCCGAGAGAATGACGCGCGGAATCCCAGCTTTGCGGCCTTCATTCTTGATGTTGACTTTGAGCGTCAGGGCAGACTGGATCCAGCAGGTCAGCGTGCCAAAGCCAAACGTCAAGGACGTGCCCACGTTGTGGATCTCTTCATCATTCGTCAGCTGGAGGACGAGCAGATGACGATGGGTGAGAGACCCATTCAGGAAAGACAGACCAATGGAGTGTGAAAAGTAGAAAACACAGGGAAAGAGAGATCTCGTAAGTGAGATAAGGGACTGCAGGTTCATATCCTTCATCTTCACTGGCAAACTACTTACTAATTGGATTGCATGCTGAGAGGAAAAAGAAAACAAATAGTACCCTCAAAACATTTGTACAAGAAAACTATAAATGCAATGGCAATCTATTTCATCTTCCTTCCTTCCTTCCTTCCTTCCTTCCTTCCTTCCTTCCTTCCTTCCTCCCTCCCTCCCTCCCTCCCTCCTTCCCTCCCTCCTCCTCCTCCTTCCTTCCTTCCTTCCTTCCTTCCTTCCTTCCTTCCTTCCTTCCTCCCTCCCTTCCCTCCCTCCCTCCTTCCTTCCCTCCCTCCTCCTTCCTTCCTTCCTTCCTTCCTTCCTTCCTTCCTTCCTTCCTTCCTTCCTTCCTTTCCCTCCTTCCTTCCCTCCTTCCTCCCTCCCTCCCTCCCTCCCTCCCTTCCTTCCTTCCTTCCTTCCTTCCTTCTCTCCCTCCCTCCTTCTTCCTTTCCTCCCTCCCTCCTTCTTCCTTCCCTCCCTCCCTCCTTCTTCCTTCCCTCCCACCATCCCACTCTCCCTCCCTCCCTCTGTGGGGGAGGACACACTCAGCAGTGCTCAAGGCTTATACCTGGCTCTGTACTCAGGGATCACTTTTAGTGATTCTGGGGGTGGGGAGACCCTATGGGATCCCAGCGATCAAACCTGGGCCAGCTGCATGCAAGGCTAAAGCCCTACTTTTTGTACTATTACTCTAGCCCGATTTCTTGAATTAATTTTTCAAAAAAGTTCTATGGTTAAGTTAAAACAAACAAAAAGTCTGTAGGAGAGTAATACATAAGAAAACATCAAATTCCTATAAACATACATCCCAAACTTTGTTTTTTAGATGAAAACTTGATATCCAGGATCTGGCTGTATTACTGAGAAGGACCATTTCAAAGCAGGACAAGAGTCTATTGGCAGAGACAGTGACTGACACTTGGGCTATTCTTTACTCCACAAAACTGGCCTATGTGATCAACTAACTATCAAGAGATTTTGTTTTCCTCTGTGACAGGAAAGGTGTGACCAATGAGCCCTTCCCATCCAGAGCTGGAAAATCCCTGGGTTAGTCTTTCAACAGTGAGCTGGTTCCTGGAGACCATTTAGTTTATTTCTGTTGGGGGTTAGAGATAGCAAGTCCCAAAATTGTTACTCATCGACACGTTTATTTTTCCGGTGGTGTGGGAGGGTTTGGGTCACAGCAAGCGGTGCTCAGGCATCCCTTCTAGTAGTGCTCAGGGGATTACGGTGTCGGGGACCAAACCCGAGCCGCCTGCATGCACAGTAAGCTCTCCAGTCTGCTGAGCTCTCTCTCTGGTCCACTTATTCATATGAGAACACCTTTAATAATTACATATACTTTAATTGCACATAAAGAATAATGCAGTTTAATGTTGAAGCAATGGCTTTTAAAACAAAGTGAGATTTTTTTTTTAATTGCTATTGCTTTTGGCGATTTCTCTCCCCCATTTTTTTTCTTTTTGGGTCACATCGGCGATATACAGGGGTTACTCCTGGCTCTGCACTCAGGAATTACTCCTGGCGGTGCTCAGGGGACCATATGGGATGCTGGGAATTGAACCCGGGTCGACTGCGTGCAAGGCAAATGTCCTACCCACTGTGCTATCGCTCCAGCCCCATCTCCCCATTTTTTTTCCTGTTGTTTTTTGGCTGTAGGACTTCTCTTTCTCTTTTTAAAAAAATTTTTTTTGTGTGGGGCAAATGGGCTATACCCAGCAGTTACTCAGGGGTTATTCCTGGCTAGCACTCAGGAATTACTCCTGGCAGTGCTCAAGGGACCATATGGGGTGCTGGGAATTGAACCCCATATGGGGTGCTGGGAATTGAACACAGTCAGTTGCATGCAAGGTAAGCAACCTACCTGCTGTACCATGTCTCTGACCCCTGTTCTCTCTTTCTTGGAAAGAAGTCACTTTCCCCATTCATTGCAAAAGAAATATTTTGAGATCTATTCTAAGTAACAATTTTTCAAATCATATTTTACTTTTAGGGAATTGCTTTTTTTTTTGTACTGTACAAAGACTATTAAGTTTTAACCTAATTTTAAAAATTAGATAACATAGTTACATGATTCAAATTTTTTTGAATTATAAAAAAAGTAGAGATTGAAAAGTCTGTTTCTTGGGGCTGGAGAAATAGTATAGCGGGTAGGGTGTTTCCCTTGCACGCGGCTGAGCTGGGTTCGATTCCCAGCATCCCATATGGTCCCCCAAGAACCGCCAGGAGTAATTCCTGAGAGTAAAGCCAGGAGTAAACCCTGAGCATCGCCGCATGTGACCCCCCCAAAAAGAAGAAAAGTCTGTTTCTTCTCCCAAATATAACCTTCTTGTTTTTTCTCCAGAGGCAACTAAGTTATTTCCTATATATTTTTCTGTGATATCGCAGGAAATTCTTCAAGGTAGCATCAATTCATGGTTTTGAATATTCATGGTTCAAAAAACTGAGGGCCCAGGAACAGAGTCAAGGGGCTGGTGTACTTGCTTTGTACTGGGATGTCTCTGGGTCCCCAGGAGGCTGCTGGGTGTGATCCAAACAAAACAACAAGCAAACAAAAACAATGAGAAAAAAAGTCTCCAAACAAAACAATTAGATCTTGCTTCAGTAGGAATTTGCTTTTAGTAGGTAAAAAGCATCTACTTCAGTTACTTCCATCTAAGCCCTGCTGGGAGGAAATGATAGGTGTCGAGTTCTTTATAATATCCAGGTACCTGCAGCACAGTCAGATAAACTGGAGAAAAAGCCCAGAAAAAAACTTCAATTGAATAATGTCTTGTTCCCCAAACATCTTGGAGCTCCAGAGGATAAAGGATCTGACACTCTCCTGATCACTCACTATCCTAACCTGTAAGGTCTCAAATGCAGGTTTCTCACAATCTTGATTTGGGATGAGACTTAGAACAGTCAGAGAACTTGGTGGAACTGCCTCGCTGTTCAAACTCTTCTTCGAGTCCAAATCCTGACTTGCTACTCTCTACAGGGAAGTAGTGGGAGTGTTTCCCTGACTCACAGAGTGATTAGGACTAAAAATTAAGTACGAGACAATCTTAGTGGGCCAGAGTGATAGCACAGTAGGTAGAGTGTTCGCCTTGCAGTTGGCCCACCTGGGCTTGATTCCTGGCATCCCATATGGTCTCCCAAGCACCGCCAGGAGTAACCCCTGAGCACTGCCAGGTGTGACCCAAAAAGCCAAAAAAAAGGGGGAGTGGGGCTGGAGTGATGATAGCACAGCGGGTAGGGCATTTGCCTGGCACACAGTCGACCCGGGTTCGATTCTCAGCATCCCATATGGTCCCCCGAGCACCGCCAGGAGTAATTCCTGAGTGCATGAGGCAGGAGTTAACCCCTGAGCATCACTGGGTATGACCCAAAAAGCAAAAAAAAAAAAAAAAAAAAGAGATATTTTTAAGAAACCCACCACCAGAGTTCCTTGTGTGCCCATGCCATTTGGACTTCACCCAAAAGATGGGGAAAGAAGCGTCAGAGGTTTATCTTTATATAAGTTGTAGGTTTCTAGAAAGCACTGTAGCACTGTCCTCCCATTGTTCATCGATTTGCTCGAGCGGGCCCAGTAACGTCTCCATTGTGAGACTTCTATTACTGTGTTTGGCATATTGAATACGTCATGGGTAGCTTGCCAGGCTTTGCCATGCGAGTGAGATACTCTCGGTAGCTTGCTGAGCTCTCCGAGAGGGGCGGAGGAATTGAACCTGGCTTGATCAGGCCGGCCGGGCAGCCCGGTGCAAGGCAAACGCCCTACTGCTATGCTATCACTCCAGCCCAGGTTTCTAGAAAAATTTTGTTTTTTTATTTTCTACTTTGGAGATTTTCTGTTTTTTAAAATCTGACTCCATCATGAGCATGCAAATCTGAAATACAATCTCTTATCTAATAAGAGGCTATTGTTTGTAGGAAGGCAATGTTTTTTTAAATTTCTTCTTCTTCTTCTTCTTCTTCTTCTTCTTCTTCTTCTTCTTCTTCTTCTTCTTCTTCTTTCTTTCTTTCTTTTTGGGTCACACCCGGTGATGCACAAAAGTTACTCCTGGTTTCATGCACTCAGGAATTACTCCGGGCGGTGCTCGGGGGACCATATGAGATGCTGGGAATCGAACCTAGGTCGGCTGCATGCAAGACAAACGCCCTACCCGCTGTGCTATTGCTCCAGCCCCCTGAATTAGTTTTCTAAGGAGTTACGTTAGTAGTTACCTTGTTATGAAAACAAAAAGTAAACCACCTTGAGATGCTGTGCAGAAAGTGTACAGCTATTTCAGTAACTGCGGTTCCCAAGACTCACACTGTCATGCCAACAGATCATGTGGCATGAGAACTTGGGGAGCCCGGGCTCCGTGGAGGAGCACAGGGTTGGCTGTGGGAGCAGCTAAGCTTGTGGGAACCACCGAGAGCATTTGCTAAGAATCATGCAGAACCTTCTGCATGGACAGGGGCCCACAGACCTATTCCTCGGCAGAATCACCTGTGGGAGGGCAAAAGGAGGTGAAAAAGGCCGAATGAAGTACCTGAAAATTACCAAGTAAGGTCATTCCGAAGGAAGCAAGACACAGAGCCACCAGGCCACTGATGTTGAGCCACGGGTTTAAAACCTTTGGTTTCAGCTGTATGAAGCGCAGAACCGCCACCACGAGAGCTAGGAATAAAACCAAATATCAAAATTCAAGTCACCACCCAGACTCCAAGGCAGGATTCAAAAGTCAATGTGCAACATCAAACTTCTGACACAGTATATTTTTTGGGGAAGGCTGTCATCCCAAGCAGTTCATTGGGGACCCTGGAGTCGCCTTGGGGGGCTCTGCATCTGACAGAGCTGGAGGGGATAGGCACAGAGGAGGAGCAGAATTGGGGTCTCCACCTGATCGGCCTGTGCTCTGGCCCTTTGGGCCACCCCAAACCCTCCCAGAAGCCATTTTAGGTCTCGGGGACGGTAATTTGAATTTATTTAGAAATTTAAAAAATATTTTCAATTAAAAATTGTAATAACAATTTATACAAATTAAGTAATCACTATCACTATCACCCACTTGTTCATCGATTTGCTCGAGCGGGCCCAGTAACGTCTCCATTTGTCCCTGTCACGTGCTAGTGTAGCCCAATGACATATTGGGGGCTCTTTCAGGGTAAGGGGAATGAGGGCCATCACTGTTACTGTTTTTGGCATATCAGGGACGCCACGGGTAGCTTGCCCGGCTCTACCGTGAGAGCTGGATATTCTTGGTAGCTTGCTGGGCTCTCTGAGAGGGATGGAGGCTTTTGGGGCAGCCTCTGATCACCTTTACAGGTGTTCCCAGTCAGGCATATATGCGGTCATGATACTCTCAGTAGTATTAATTAATATTAATAAATTAAGTAATAAAGTTAGTTAAAAATTTACACAGTGATTTACAAAATTGGAGTTCAGGCATGCAATGTTCCAACAACCAATTATACCACCAGTATCAACTTCTGTCCACTAGACAATTTTAAAAGAAAATGTCCATATGATGCTAGTGACATCCGGGGGATGTGTGTGTGTGTGTGTGTGTGTGTGTGTGTGTGTGTGTGTGTGTGTGTGTAACAAACTGCGGTCCCATATACTGAGCTACACCCTCAGCCCATGATGGTGACTTAGATGGTTTTTTGTTGTTTATTTTGTTTTTGGGCCACACCTGGCAATACTCAGGTATTACTCCTGACTCTGCACTCCTGCCGGTGCTCAGGGGACCCTGTGAGGTGCTGGGGATTAAATTGGTTTCAACCGATTTAATCCTGCAAGGCATACCCACTATATCCTCGCTCCAGCCCCTGGATTAGATGTTTTGTTGGCCTGCATCTGTGGGAAGCAGAGAGAAACTAATGCAGCAACGCCAAACGCTATTTGTTGATGAAAAGACGATAACAGTGTTCTCAGAGTTTTTTAAAAAAAAAAAAAACAAGGCCTGGTACCCAAGTATTGCCAGGAGTGAGCCCTGCGCACAGAGCCAGGAATAAACTCTGAGCACCACAGGGCGTGCCCCCCAAAGGAAAACCTAAACAAACAAACAAAATAAAAACAAGTTTACCCATAGAAGAAGGGAAACAGCACCCACCCCCCCAACCCTTGCACTAGAATCTCTTGACTCAGTGACGCCGAAAGTCACCAGAAATGAGAGGCAGCAGAACTGGTCTGTGGTAGGAAGTCTGGCACTGGGGCAGGGGTGAGGGGGGAAGGGAAGGGAAGGGAAAATGCGGGAGGGGCAAAGTGCCTACCACAGAGGGAGGCTGGGGGCTGGCAGGGAAACTGGGACATTTGGTGGGGGGTAGTGGACATTGAGGAAGGAAGTGGTGTTGGAACAATATACGCCTGAAATTCAATCATAAATATCTTTGTAACTTTGTAATTCATGGTGATTCAATTAAAAAAAAAATAGAACCAATTTCCTTGGAAAGCTTGAGAAAGACAGGTCACCACATTGAGGTCAATCTGCCACAGGTCCTGTGACAGAAATCATTCCTGGGGATAGGGAGAGAGAAAGGAGCAAGAGCAAAAGCCCCTTTATTTCTGGCTTACTCCCATTTCCCTTTTATTCTACCAGGCGGTATTCACTGTCAAAGTTATGGATAATTTAATCCAACTTCAAGCATATAGTGATTGAACAGGTGAAACCTGCATTGTAACAAAGAAGATTCAGGCACTATCGATAAAACTATACAAAGAGACACGCTCCAGAAAAGATCTGATGCCCGACATCACCTAAGGAAACGCAAATGCAACCACAGAGAGCATCTGGCATCTGCTAGGACAGGAGCTGGCCAACAGGGGGAAGGCTGGCTACGGAGAGGAGAGAAAGGAGTCACTGGGCACACACGTATCCATCCACACAGGTTTGCATAGAAACATACATACACACAGTGGGATGTTATTCAGACAATGGGAAAATCCTACCATTTGTAACGACATGAATGAACCCCCAAAACGTCACACAACTAAATCAGAGAGAAGACTATCAATGTATGGAATCTAAAAAGAGAACAAAACAAAATGAACTCAAACTGTGATTAACTTGTGATCTAGGGGCTGAGGTAGGGGCAGGGTGGGGAGTGGGGAATGGCGGGGAGGTGGTCTAAAGGAACAAACTCCACCCCCAAATCATCAAGTGCAGGACTGTATTGCCCCAACAAACTGACTACAGTCAACACTCTCGTATGATTCAGAGGAAAACACTCTCATATGATTCTGTTAAAGAGAAGACTGTCTTTTCTTTTTCATTCTATCAGAACAAGAAGATAAATGTTAATTAACTATGGTTATCATGAGCAATTATTTCATAAGCTATGTAAACTATCATACAATCTGCCTTAAACTTACTGTCATTTATTTTCAATAAAACAAGAAAAAAAATTCAAGTAATAAAAATAGCCTATTATTATATTATTTAGGGGCCCTTTCTTCATCCAACAATGTCAATCATTTTAAAAGAACACTATTCCTTTTGAAGCAAATTGTCACTGGAAAACTTGGAGAATGAAGGAAGATACTTAAATTTCAAATAATAACTTTTTAAGGATGGTCCAAACTCAAGCCACTAAGAACCACTTTTTACTAGTTGACTAGTGAAGTGGTATTTTTATTTTTAAACAAAAAGCTGGGAGAGGGCTGGAGAAACAGCACAGCAAGGTAAGGCTCTTGCCCTGCAAATTCTGGACCCGGAATTGATCCCCAAGCCCTGTCAGAAGTGATCCCTGAGTGCAGAGCCAGAAGTAATCCCTCAGCACCATTTACTACTTCCTAAAACAACATGCCCTATTTTATACTTGTATAATAATTAAAAAGACAATTTTTGATAAAGGTTTTACCTTGATTTTGGGAACCATTAACAGTTATTAATAAAGAAAACAAGGTCATAAATTTGCATTTCTCATAGCACTGCAGCACTGTCCTCCTGTTGTTCATTGATTTGCTCAAGCGGGCCCAGGAACATCTCCATCCTGAGACTTGTTACTGTGTTTGGCATATTGAATACATCACGGGTAGCTTGCCAGGCTTTGCCGTGGGGGCGAGATACTCTTGGTAGCTTGCCGGGCTCTCCGAGAGGGGCAGAGGAATTGAACCTGGCTCGGAAACAATGAAACAATGTATAATATAGGAAATCTCCAGTTCGTCTGCACTGATTGAACCTTTGTGTATTTTTGTTGCAATTAATGCCTGCTATTGAAAGAAAAAATTAACATTGGCCTTGAGTCGACAAGTTTCTTAAGTTAGTGATTTGAAGGAAGTAATTAGGAGTCATAATATCTAAACTATATAATAATTACCATAGCCATCTTAGAGGATGGGGGAAAAGCATGACTTTTTATTATTATTTTTTGTTTTGTTTTCTTGTGTCATACCCGGCAACGCACAGAGGTTACTCCTGGCTCATGCACTCAGGAATTGCTCCTGGCCATGCTCAGGGGACCATAGGAGATGCTGGGAATCAAACCCGGGTCGGCTGTGTGCAAGGCAAATGCCCTACCCACTATGCTATCGCTCCAGCCCCTTTTTATTACTTTTAAGGATGCGTCTAGGAGAGGAGCTGAGGAAGGAAGAATTTCAGCATAAACTACAAACATGTTGACACCAAGTGATCACCATCAGATAACAGTTGTCACTGATATAAATTAGGGCAGAGTGACAAACACTAAGCATTTTCATTTATTTGAAAGATGACTAAAGAGGGGGCCCCAGAGATAGTATTGGAGTTAAGGTGCTTCTCACATGTGGCTGACCCCGGTTCAATTCTGACACCATGTGTGGTCCTCCAAGTACCACCATGACCAATCCCTCAGCTTAGGAGTAAGCCCTGAATACCACTGAGTATGGTCCAACACTTTCTCTCCACAAAGTAAGAAAACTGATTGAGAAGGATTACCCTGGACATTCTTGGTGGTCATAGAGTTTGGAGGGAGAGGATTATGCAGGCAACTATGGGCTAAGCCCTCAACCTCTGCTGAGGTAGACGCTGAAGTGACTCTGCGTATTGGCCCACCCAGCCAGGCTCCATCTCACTGCCCACAGGAAGGAGTCAAGGGCTTCTGCATTTCCCGGTTCTCTCCAACCAACCCAGGGCGTGGGGCATGCATCATCTCCTGGTCCTGGCATTGCTAGACTTCTCATTTGTAATATGGTTGATAGATCATTTGGTCCTAGACAGGGGATAAAGTTAAGCAGGAAGCAGAAAGCTATTTGAAGACAGGGTTTCCCAGAATTGCATTTCTGTTTGGCTGTTTTTTTTGGCCACTCCCGACAGTGCTCAGGGCATAGTCCTGGCTCTGAGCTATGGCAGGCAAGTGGCTTGCCTGCTGTACTATCATTCCAGTACATATCTCAGTTATTTTGTTCGTATGTTTGTTTGTGTTTTTGCAGAATTGCATTTCTAACATAACACTTTGACCTTTTTACCCATTAACGTTATTAGTCATTGGCTCAGATGAGGCATATTTTCCTCTGCAAGTAGATTCGAGCTGCATCTATTTGATAGCAGAAATAATGAAGATTCTGGTCCTTTGACAATTTTATTCAGATATAAAATTGGGCTGGAGGGATAGCACAGTGGGTAGGGCATTTATCTTGCATGTGGCCAACCTGGGTTCGATTCCTCCGTTCCTCTCAGAGAGCCCAGCAAGCTACTGAGA